ACTGAGCTGGTGAATTATCAAACACCCTTTGCAAACGAACGTGACAAGGAGCATTATCTGTTACGATGACCAAATCCTCCAAATGATTCCCGGATGTAACCCACTGGTGAAACATAGCCAACATCCACTCGTTACAGGAATCTGCTTTAAATGATCCCCTGCGAGTTTCTATCATGACGACATTTGTAGTTGAAATAGCTGCGATCAAGTGTATGTTTAAACCTTTTGAAGCAGGTACTTTCATAATTGCTCTTTTTCCTTGTCTCGCGCGTCCTTGCGTTTTTCTACAAAAAAGGTTAAAATTTGTTTCATCCAACCAAACTATCTGACGACCATTTGTGATATGTTCGTTGATGTTTCTAACATATTCAGCTCTTTTTTGTTTGTTTTCATAACTGTTCATTGTAGAAGGCTCCTTATGCACTTTTTTTAATGAGAACAATCTGTATTCGAGGTAATTTGCTATTGTTGTTGTGCTAATGTTTATGTTAAATTGTCTTAATATCTTTGTTTTGATGGCCACCAATGTTAATTGACAATCATTTTCAATCCATGTTAATGTTTCTTCGATTTGATCTTCAGTCAACTTTTTCGGTTTAAAATCTCCTTTTCCGATGAAATTCGAATTTCCGCTGCGAACCCAATTGTATGCTGTCTTATATTTGATACCTAGCGTTTGCGCGAGATTCACCCAATCTTCAAATCGCTCCGCACATTCAACAACTCTTCTCCTGTCATTTGGAGAAGATAAAACGTAACGTTTCCTTTCAACTTGTTCAGTTGTGTGTATTTCATGCCGACAAATCGGACAACTTGAATCTGGTTGTTCCAGAACTGGACGTAAACAAATTTGGTGACATAAATGTTGACACGGATTTAGCTTAATCACAGACTTTCGGGTCATAGTGTATTGGCATATAACACAACGATCTTTCAATTCCATTATTATTACTTGTGCATACAAAAGCAAAATTTAAGATTATAACTTAAATTCATGTCCAAAAAGACCTTTTGTAACAACCTACAAACTTAGACTGTGAATTTGCTATTTTAATTTATGTGTTCTCAATTACAAGTTACGATTTCTCAATTACATATTATGATTTCTCAATTATATCTTACGTTTTCTCAATTACATGTTGTGTTTCTTAATAACATGTTACGACTTCTTATTTACATGTTGTGTTTCTCAATTACATATAACGTTTTCTCAATTACATGTTGTGTTTCTTAATTACATATTACGACTTCTTAATTACAACTTTCATTTTCTCATTTACATCTTGAAAAGGTGTAGAGTGTTATTACTTTTGTAATCGTAAGTTTATTGTTTTATTTTTTATGTTTTTTTGCTAACAAATTTAAGTTGATTTTCCCCTTAAAAACAAGGAACATGGTTTTGTATAAACTAAAGTAAATTTTGAATACTAGATATTTTTCCAGATTTTGTGTTTTGCATTTGCTTAATTCAACCCTTGTTGTTACATTAAAATTATACAAATAAATTTTACAAATACATTGCAGTTTGTATTTTTGCTATCCTTGTAAAAAAAATTAAGAAAAGAAAAATCATTCTTATTATTATAGATTTCCAACTGTTTTTTTTTTACTTCGCCTTATCTAATTTTGTTGCTAAATGTAACTCTAAAGAAACAAAAGGCTTATATATATATACACATAAGCATGAACATACAAAAGTTTGGAGTTTGCACAATGCCTGTAAGTGTAAAAACTCAAACACCTAAAAACCCAGTGTACACCACTGTATATATATATATATATATATATATATATATATATATATATATATATATATATATATATATATATATATATATATATATATATATATATATATATATATATATATATATATATATATATATGTATGTATATATAAAGTCTTAATAATATTTCTAAATTTTATAAATAAAATCCTGAAAAAATTATTAAACCATTTAAGTAGTTAAACCAATTGGTTTATTCATTACATTATATGATATTGTTATTTAAAATAAAAAAATTGTACAACTTTATCTGATTTTCACTTTATTATTGCATCTTTCAATCATACTGAAATACAGTTCAAATGCTAATATATGTTTTTAACAAATTTTTTGGCTATCAAAGTAACCTTTATTAAATGTCTAATTTTTATTCAATAAAGTTTAAAAACCCTTTCTAGATTTCTTTTTTCCAAACAAATTTGTTCTTTTCAATATAGAATTGATTTTATACAAGTTTACAGCTCCTGTTATATGCAAGTTTACAACTCCTTTGAATACAATAACGAGTGAACACAAAAATAAAGTGATAAAAGATGGTCTAGAAAATTGATAACCACTTCTTTAAACATCTCAGTCAAATTTAAATAAGAATTTTTTGAAAAATAAGATAAACTTCTTAAAGCAATTCTGCCATCAATTGAAAAATAAGATATAAAAATAACCTCAACATCTTAGAGCAATTCTTAAATTAAGCATTATTAAAAAATTCTGCCATTAATTGGCAGCTTATTTTTACATAAACTTTTTGGTTGACTTTCTAAATGCTAACTGTTCTAGTAGTAAAAAAAAGCATCAGATAATACAGACCAAAGACCATCTAAATTTTTTTGATTACTACATTTTTTATCAGTATTATAATTTCACTCTTCAAAAAAATCTTTATTTATTCGTCAACTTTTTCTGTTAACAAATAAGTCAACTTTGCCAACTTTTTGACTAACATATTCTTCGGTAAAAAGTACTAAATACGTATCAACCAAAATATTGAACTAAATTTTTTTCTATTTTTTTTTTCTAAATATGATTAGCAAGGTTATATCCTACAAGAGGTGAGGATCTGTGAAAAAAATGTTTTCTGATCAGGAACTATAAATTTTGGATAAAAAGACTTCAATTTTTTTTTTTTTTTTTTTTTTTTTTAATTTTAATTCACCTCCTCAAGGCCGAGAAGGCCACTACAGTCGAGGAGGCTACTTATTTGTGGTGATAAGCTTCACTATAAATAATTTTTATAACTTCTTTTTAACTTTTTCTTTTATAACTTCACTATAAATAATTTTTATTACTCCTTTTTTTAAATTAAATGATAGATTCGTATTATCTTTTAAAAATATGTACTTTGAAAGCTTATCTCTGATGTATGGAAAGCAGCAAAGATTGTTAATAACAATAAAAATATTTTTTAAAACAAAATTGATGAACTTCTTTGCAGAACACATTGCAGCAAAGATTGTTTGTACAATAAGAATGTTTTTTTAAATGAAATTTATAAACTTATTTGTAGAACATGTTTGCTTAATATCAGTTTATCCATTTATTTGCCGTGTTAAAGAGAAACTAATTGAATGCTACTTTGTTATGAATCACTTGAATTTATGCTCCGACTTTATATCATAACTGGTGAAAGTAAATTTGTTTGAAGTGTTTTTACTCTCAATTTCATTGAGAAAAGAACTGAAATTATTGATAAACTTGAGTTTACAAAATATATATATATATATATATATATATATATATATATATATATATATATATATATATATATATATATATATATATACCTATATATATATATATATATATATATATATATATATATATATATATATATATATATTATATATATATATATATATATATATATATATATATATATATATATATATATATATATATATATATAGGTATATATATATATATATATATATATATATATATATATATATATATATATATATATATATATATATATATATATATATATATATATATAGGTATATATGTATTTAAATATGTTTCTCTACTATACAGTGCTCAAAATATAAATCTAAACTTATTGATCATAAATTTACTGAAATTAAAAAGGTTGGAGTGAAAAGAAAGAGACTGAAATGTCAAATAAAAAATTTTATAAAAAAACTATATGCGTAATTTTCTTTTTTGCTTAGTGCTTAACATGGTTTAAGTATTAATATGATATTTTAATATTTATAAAAGCATATATTATTACCAAATAATTTTAAATATTAACAAATACTACCAAATATATTACGAAACAATTTACAAGTCATTATTAGATAATATTACGAAATAATTTACAAGTCGTTATTAGACAATATTACGAAATAATTCACAAGTCATTATTAGGCAATATTACAAAATAATTCACAAGTCATTATTAGACAATATTATTACGAAATAATTCACAAGTCATTATTAGACAATATTACGAAATAATTCACAAGTCATTAGACAATATTACGAAATAATTGACAAGTCATTATTAGACAATATTATGAAATAATTGACAAGTCATTATTAGACAATATTATTACAAAATAATTCACAAGTCATTATTAGACAATATTACGAAATAATTCACAAGTCATTATTAGACAATATTACGAAATAATTTACAAGTCATTATTAGACAGTATTACGAAATAATTCACAAGTCATTATTAGACAATATTATAATTCTTGAATGAAAAATCTGGTGATTATTTCAATTTTTCCAACTTTTTAATTATTTTTCTTTTGTTATTTATATTTGAAAGGTTTATCAAGTATTCAATTTATTCACCAGACTCTTTTCTTTTTAAAACTTTTATTTGACTCAACCTTGATTAAGTTTTTCATTGTTTTTAATTTGCTTTGTTTGATTGCTTTTCGTTGTAATGTTGCTTCTCTTTCTTTTTACTTTGAATACTAAAATGAGTGCTGCTCCAAAGGGCTAGCAACTCATCTGCCATCTACTAAAATTCATTCTTGTGTTACTCATCATTCATTCATTCATTCTTGTGTTACTCATCATTCATTCATTCATTCTTGTGTTACTCATCATTCAATTAACTCTCATCATTTTATTTTGACTTCTTCTAAAATGCTAATATATATAGATAAAAAAAATCATTTATATATATTGAATATTTTATTTTATTTAAATATTTATATTTATACATTATTAATACAAATGTTTTGATATTTTTTCAGATTTTTTCAACAAAGTCTGATGTCTGGAGTTTTGGCATACTGTTATGGGAAATTTTTTCATTCGGGCGAAATCCATACCCACGTGTGGTAAGTTTATAATAAAAGAACTCAAAATTTAAGTTTTATTAGTAATTTAATTTTTTTAAATAGTACTATTTATTACTATTCATTATTCTTCATTCCATCTCTCACCTCAATTTTCTGTAACCTTTCATTATTTTTTCTCACCTTTTATTTTAAAATGCTAATTCACTTTCCTAAGGCCAAGAAGGCCACTACAGTCAAAGAAGCTATTTTAATTGTGGTTACAACCCTCTCTCCAATCTATAACTCCAAGGCATGAACTTTGATGAATAAGCAGAACCTTGATGAATAAGGCCACTGCACGGAGAATTTATTTAAGCATGGTAAATCTAGGGGCGTGGTGGGTATCTAACTTGAAAATTCTCACTTATAAAGTGAGCACTTTACCACTAGACTTTTACAACATTTGTTATAAAGTGCGCGCTCTACTACTACCCCCACCTCTCATGATTTGCAACCTCTTACAGCTAATCAGCTTCAGCTAAAAAGTTAATTTGTTAATTATAAATGTATATTTAAAAAAAATCTTTGTGTGTTTATATATCAGGGCGCGACAAATTTTTTTTAAATAAGTGTTGACGTTTGTTTCTTTATTTATTGACAAGCTTCTAATTTAAGAGGTATATCAAATAACAGGGCAGACAACCCGGGGGGGGGGGGGTAGAGGCCTTCCCCCCTACTTTTTTTCTAAAGGCCCTTTCTATTTTTTAAGAGAAATTCTAGAATGGTTGTGCACCTTCACTTCAAAAACTGTGTGACTGGCCATGAATAGCCCAGTTTTATTTTCAATTCTTTCAAATTTTTTTTTTTTTAATCAAATAATTTTTTATTAAGTTATAAGGGAGTTTTATTTTCAAATAACTTTAATTCTAGTTAATAATATGTATAATAATTAGATATATCAAAGTTGCTTATTGAGTTTTATCAATTTTAAATTAATTCAAAACAGTTTCTCAGGCATTTACAAAGTGCACGCAAATTAATGATAATTAGTATGCAATAATCTTATGATTGTAAACTGTTATCCATTAATACAAAATAGTGAATTTTTCTCAATTTAGTTTCTTAAATTTATTTAGTTATAGAAAAATAGTATAAAGATCCACAGTGGCGGATAGGGCTAATTTTTTTGGAAGAAAAAAAAAAAGTTTTCCTGCACTGCCCCTCCCCATTATTATTTTTGCTCCTTCAGGCCTCTATTATTTGTGTTGTTAAATGCACAGTGAAAAATGAAAATTATAATAAACATAATAGTTCTATATATTTTATTAATTATATATATTTCTGCAAACTTACAAAGTTTTTTCAAAACTTCTAAAAGGTCAAGTTCACTTTAATTTAACGATAATTAAAAAATTTAAAAAAACAAAAAGAATGTTTTAGCATGGTTTCTTTTAAAGTAACTGGTGCATTAAAATTTCCCATTAATGCATTAAAATTTTTTATTAATGCACTAAAATTTCCCATTAATGCACTAAAATTTCCCATTTCTAAACGCATGTAAAAACCATGCTAAAACATAAATACTTTCTTCAGTTGCGCACTTAATTGTAAAACTTAAAAGTAGCGCTATTGAAAAAAGTATGAGCATGGTTTCTTTTAAAGTCGTTGAAAATGCGTTTTAAATTTTAGTAACTTATTGTTTTTTATTAATAATTATTATTTTTTTTTAATAAATAAAAAACTATCAATCGCATAATAATTTGGAAAAAAAAAATTGCTGAAGTAATGCGTTTATTTTTAAAATCTTTAAGCGAATGCCAACGTTTGCTTAAAAGTAAAAGTAAGGAAACGTGACAACGTTTGCTTAAAAGTAAAAGTAAGGAAACGTAACATTCGTTTTTCTGTCTTTTTTTTAACAAATGTTCGCATTTTCTTCGATTTTTTGCACCCTGTATATATATATATATATATATATATATATATATATATATATATATATATATATATATATATATATATATATATATATATATATATATATATATATATATATATATATATATATATATATATATATATATATATATATATATATATATATATATATATATATATATATATATATATATATATATATATATATATATATATATATATATACACACACACACACACATATATAGAGAGAGAGAAAGTTTGTTTGCAATTAAAAATCATTAAGCTTTCTAAAAAAAAAATTATAAAAAAAAATAAAAAAATTATAAAATGTAACTTTAACAATGGAAAGTAAGACTTTGGTGATTGGAGTATTAAAATTGGCTACTCTGCTTCCAAAACTCTGCTTTCAAAACTTTGCTTCCAATTTCAATACTCTATTCACTACTAAAGTCTTGAAATATAAAAAAAGAAACCATTGACATTAGAATAATTTTTCTTTAACCATATCAGACTATGTGTCTAAGTTTAATTGTATTAAACTCAAATGCATAGTCTGAAATGGTTAAAGAAAAAAAAAGTTAAAAACATCTGCACAACTTTTTTAAAAAACTATTGTTAAAGAATCTCAAGATTGAGAACTAGAAAAAAAGAATTCGCAAGAATAATGGTGAAAGCTAAAGAAGCTATCAAAATTTTTTAAATAAGCTATATATATATATATATATATATATATATATATATATATATATATATAAATTTTATATTTTGAAAAAAGATGTTTGTTTCTGGGCTAGCTATTTTTAGAATCAGAAGTCAGTTATAAATCCATGCATAGGTGTTAAATCCATCATGGTTTTCTGGAGTATGGCTTGATTGTTTCGATGTAGTTCACAGATAAAACTTTTATGGTGGCTGCTAACAACACAAGGCTCTACTGACTACATAAACAGCACAGACTTACACATTACACCTATACACCCATATGCACTTACAGCCTGTTACATCATTTTGCATGCTTTTTGTTCTTTTATAGATAATCTATATTTGAACTCATTCTTATTTAGATAATATTTTCTTTTAATAGAGAGTGGTGAGAATGTAGATTTGTATGCTGTTTATATGTAGTTATTATGTGTAATTGAGTTTTAATTTTAGGGTTCATTTATATATATATATATATATATATATATATATATATATATATATATATATATATATATATATATATATATATATTATATATATAAAATTTTTTTTAAACTAGCAGCTTTCGACATGTTTTGTTGATGTATGTTTTTTGGTGTTGTTTTGTTATGGTCTCAAAATTACATTAATTCGGACCGTAGAGAAAACTTTACTTTTTGGAAATTTGGATTTCGTTATGGTCTTAAAGTTACTTTTAGTTTGAACCGTAGAGAAAACATTACTTTTAAACAATATTTTCCCCCACTTCTTACATCATTTTTATAGCAGACTTAATATCATTACTATATCACCCATAAATGTTTTTTGTTAACCACTCATTAGGCTAAAATTTATCTATTTTTTTTTTCACTATTTAATTAGTCTTATTAAATTATTTATTATATTACTTATCCACTGATTTTCAAATTATTACTGTTATCAAGCATTTTTTATGCTATATTATCTTACATTCATTACTCAGCTTTGTTTTAATTTTCACATGCACAATTTTCATATTTTATTATTATTCAGAAAATTCTTATATCCTTCACTACATATTTACATTTTCACATGCACAATTTTCATCTTTTATTATTATTCAGAAAATTTTTATCTCCTTTACAACATGTTTACATTTTGTGAATGACATTTTTAATGGTTTTTGTGCAACGTTTTTTTGCTATCATAGATTAATTAATTATTGTAACGATTTTGGGTTGCGCGAGTTGCTCATTTTCTTACACTTTTGATTAGTTAACATGATTCGAATGAGGTATCTTTTGACAGCGTTTTTTTAAGTAAGGTATACTGCTATCTGATTGTCTTGGGTTGATTTATGCTAAAAGTACCTATTTGGTTTTATATGTCTTAAAAAGAAACTTATTAGTATTTTTGGGTTTCAATTAGAATTTTAATTTATTGTGCTTTCATGTTTTCTTTCAGTGGTATGGTAGAGGAAGTTGGGGTTCAGTAGGCGAAGTTGGGGCACAGTGGATTGGATTTCTTTATTTTTTAAATTGAGCAAAATTTAAAATATTTCTTTTATTTTTTTCATAGCGAAAGGATTGAGATGTCCTTCACGATAAGAAATCACTAAAACCCAAATAATTATTATCTAACAGCTCACAGAAAGGTTTAAAGTGAGTTGTGTTACGTGATTCACCGTGCCCCAGTACTGGAGCACAGTGAATCAATAAACACATCTGTGAATTAATGATAGTAAATAGGGGCAAAGCCAAATAACTTTGAGGCTGAGGGAGTAAAAAACACTGTATAAAATCAAAAAAATAGTCATTTTAACAATTAGGGAAGTAAAATGCAGTTTGTTTGTTAAAAATGCATAATTTAATCTTTAAGATCATTTATGGGGCATTGTGAATCAACCGATTCACTCTAAATAAAGATGGATAATATATGAGAACATATAATAATTACATTATCAAGATGAAGGTGATTTATTTAGTTATTTTTATTGGATAGTAGATCTACGCTTTTATTATCATATCATCAAAAAAATTTTGGTGCTTTACAAATTCGGGGGTGGTAGGGGTGGTTTGGTGGGGGTGGTAGGGTTTTGGCTATTAGTAGTTAGTTCTTTTTTACTGCAGTTTGGAATAGGCGTAAGTCAAGGGATAAAGCATAGGTGGCGATGACGTTTGTCTGATTGGATAAACTATTATTAATGCTGATCCTCATCAAAATACCAGTAATAATTTTTTCCAGATGTTTTTTCCAAACAGGATTTTTAAAATATGACTAGGATAATATATCATATTAGCATTGATATTTTTTTTTCCATTCTGAGGCCTTACATCAACAATTATTTTTCTAAATCGTAGATTTAGAAAAATAATTGTTGATCAAGAACTTGTAAAATATAATATATTAAAGTTCGATGCAGAATAGGTTAACAGTGCTGAGTGGTGTTCCGGTTATAATGTCAATTTTTGTGCAAAATTTTGAATTTAAAAATACAAGTAATAAAATGATTAGTTTTAATTTTTAATTGGAAATTCATTAAAAAAAAATACTTAAGACAAAACTAGAAGATGTTATTTAAAGGCATGATTCGCACGTTTAGCATCACGTGCAAATCATTCTCAATCGGTTATCTGTTCCATCACATTACAAACATAGTTGTCCTAACCAACATGCTTTATTTACGTTTAAATATAAAGGAAATGTTGGCCGAATTCAACAAATTTCGTTTGCAGAATATTTTCGTTTTGTTTTGGGAATGGAGGGCCTAATATTTATACACTTTAAGCCAAGACTGTCAATTGCATTACACGAAAAAGAATATTCAAAGAACCGGACACACCAGAACAACTAGACTTAGTGCAGATCGAACAAGAGTTAATACTGGCAACAGACATGCAAAAAGTAATTATGCTACCAAGAATAAAAAATCTACAAAAAATTATATTTTTAAAAGAAATTACTACATAAAACTAAAAGTTTGTGCCGATTAGAGAAAAGGAAAAAAAATATTGTTCTAATTATTTGACATAAACAGACTGGTGCAAAGAAGTGTCAATCTCTTCATATTATTTGTTTTTCGAGAAAATCAGAACAAATTAGAAGCCATTAGTTTTGACAGTCATTAAACTTAAAAAAACAAATAAGGTTTAGTGATGTTTCTGTTCTGCAATTAAACAGCAATGAAATCGCAACTCACAAAATTAAATTGAAATACGTAGAAAGTGTTTACATATTTTTATAAGTAGCGACTTTTTCATCATTTGATAGGAAAACAACATAAATCGTATACTGTTTACAATTTTAATAATTTGAAGTAGCTAAACGAAGTTCAAAAGCTTTTTAAATTTTTTTTAAAGTTGTATCTTGTAACTAAAATGGATAAAAAATTATTCAGTTACCAACTTAATCATAAGTCACTAGTCCCCACCCCTCCTCCTAACTTATTTAAAAAACTTAGTAAAGTTGCAAGAAACTGTTACTCAATAACTAGCTAAATTGAAGGTCAAAATATAGTGTAGTTGAATTTTTTTTTTAAAACGCCATTTGAGTTGATTTTTTGAAATTAAATCATAAAGCGTTTTGAAAAAAATTATTAAGTTTTTCACAAAACTAGTTTTGATAAATTTTTCTAAACTTTTTAAATTACTTTTCCAAAAATATTTATTGGATAACGTTTTGAGGAACCAAAATGAAAATTTTCATTAACTTTAGGCGTCTTAAATAAAATCTGTAGCGCGTTATTTACACATTGGTACATCTGCAAGTTTTATTGAAGTAACCTTTAATTGATAATATTATATTTTTATTTTTTTTATAAGTCTTTATTTTTTCCATCTTTTATTTGTTGTCAAATTTAATTGAAATGACGTAACATTTTTTTAGCCACTAGACGAATTATTAACCAAAATAAAATCAAATTATCGGATGGAATGCCCAGAGAAATGTCCACCATTTGTTTATCAGTTGATGCTAAAGTGTTGGGATGCAGATCCTAGTAGAAGACCATCGTTCAAGCAATTGCACAATGAACTCTTTAATCCCGACAGAGAAACTAAATTATGAATAGAAATTTTCAGTTATATGTTTTTTTTATCTCAATTTTTGAGAGATATCAATCTAGGTCATTTTTAGAATTTATGGTTATGCGTCATTTGTAAATCATCATTTTAGAGGGATTTATGACATAATTAGTCTCTGAATCTTAAATACGTTTCTTTTTGTTTTTAAAATTATTTTTTTTTTTTTTTGTCACCGATTAATTAATTTATATACCTGAATTTTATTTCCGATCTTCTAATGCGCGCCCATCCCCCTAATTTGAAAAATTGTTTTTCAAACATTCATGTGATTGATTACAACCTAAAAACAGTTTATATATATATATATATATATTTTTGTAGGTAACTATAGTAACTGGTTTATTTTTAATAGTTTAAATGGAAATTTGTAATATCAACTTTTTTCTTTTTATGACTTCAACCAGCCATTTAGCATTTAGCATTTATATATATATATATATATATATATATATATATATATATATATATATATATATATATATATATATATATATATATATATATATATATATATATATATATATACATATGTGTGTATATATATATAAATATGTGTATATATATATATATATATATATATATATATATATATATATATATATATATATATATATATATATATATGTATGTATATATATTTGTGTGTATGTGACTAAATTATTAATTTTATAATTAGAAATTATTGCACACTGCACAGATTATAGTAAAAAATTTTAACACATGCAAAAATTATCATATTAACAAGCTATTACATATTCTAATACTAAATGTTATATAATATTAAATAATATTAAATATTAATAATGGTGGTTTTAATTTAACTTTCTCTATAAAATTAAGACATTACTTTAGTCACCGATTTAAATAAAATTTACCTAAAAAATTTTCTAATTATAATTTTCTACTCATAAAAAATGTTTTTTTGTATTTGGTTGGACCGTCCATTGCAAAAATTCTTTTTGAGCATACATTAGTAAGGTGAGTTGATTTTTTGAAAACGAGATGGGGTGTTGGTGTTTAGTTTGGTAAAGAACTTTATGAAGAAGTTAAACCTGCAACTATTAAATTAAAGAAAAAATTTAATCTAATAAATTTTTTGTAAAATTCTCCCTATGTCAAAATAAATGAATAAGACAGGTTTACCAAAAAAATATTTAAACTAATTTTTATAATAAAAATAGTTCTTTTAAACACCCAATAATTACATAAAGTATAGGTAAAAGTATTAAAAAAACAACAACACAAAAAATTTAAGTATTTTCTTGCATTGTTCTTGGAATGTTTTTCTCCATCAGAGTTCTAAATATTAATCTATTTTCCTTTAAATTCCAATGTTGAAACGATTGTTTTAAAATCGCCGCAACATTGGCCTTCAATAGCTCTTGAGGGCGTGCACTTATAATTTTTTTACCCTCGATCATACATTGGAGCATGTTTATACCAACTGAGCAGCCGTGGCGCAGGTGTAGCAAACTTGCCTCAGAAACAAAGCACCCTTGGTTCAAACCCTACATCTAGGCATGTTTTGCGACATCGGTTAGAAAGGAGGTGTAAACTTCCAATTCATGCTCATTCACGCTGCTCTGTGATAAGAACTTAAGGGCCTCTTGGGGCACCTAAATAAAAATTTTAAAAAAAAAATCTAAATTTTGTTTTTGTTACGCAAGCTTTATTTTTTACAATTTCAAATTTTCAAAAGGTTTTTTATAGGCATTTTTATTAAACAATGAAGTAATGTCAATGTTTTTTTTTTTTTTTTTTTTTTTTTTTTTTTTTTTTTTTTTTTTTTTACAGATTAAATATATAATATAATGGCTTCTTCAAATCGACATAGGTGTAAACATAATCCTCATTCTTTTTATCTGTGGCTGCTACTCCTATTACAGTTAGATACTTCTGCATATAACCTAACAAAATGGAGATTGTTTATCGATAGCTCAAAGCAAAGCGTCTGTTATATTTTAGGTTCTATACCAATCTTTCATTCTGTTTGTTTGCAAGAATTTTACATTAAAATGGTGGTTAACTTGATTAAACATCTAGAACACAACTAGATTATTTGCGTTGATTTTAAAAAGGGTTAACTTTCTCCTTGGTCAGCGGAAAGCTTTTACTAAATTTTTATGTTAACTATGCATGTGGGGTAGTCGAGCAAAAAAGCAACACTGGATACAAAAAGAATGGCCGATCAACCTCACAGGATGTTGCAAATCAACCATTTGAATATATTTTTTCCATCTTAAACTTAGCTTTATGTAACAATTTGTTAAATTACTGAAGAATGGTTTTATTATTATTATTATTATTAATTTTTTCTAGGTGCCCTAAGAAGTCCTTGCGGTCTTGTCACGGAGCACTGCGGAAGAGCATTTAATAGGAAGGTCACGCCTCCTTCCCAACCGATGTCGCAAAACTTGCCCAGGTGTGGGGTTTGAATCAGATGAGAAGTTTGATCTTACGTTTCTGAGGCAAGTGCGCTACCAATGCGCCACAGCTGCTCTCACTTAAAACATTACCAAGTTTGTAATTGGAAAAAAAAAAGTTGTAACTTTTGGTGGGCCACAAATTCGATACATTATAAATGACAAAGAATTTGTTAAAACAATGCACAGTGGGCTAATTTTCAAAAAAGCTGGCCAAAAGTCAAAAAAAAAAATCACTATTTTGAATTTATTATTTTGAAACTACATAAACAAAGCCCTGTTGTATTTTATTGTATAAGAAAAAATTGTATAAATTTTAAAGTTACCTATATCTACGCAGTTAAACATCTGTTATTAAAAACACATAATTGGCGTTTTAAAAGCAAAAAAAAAATATGGTTAAATAAGTATCGTTTACAAAAAAGTTATTTATCGTTACTAAAAAACTAACTATGGACGATACTATTCAAGGTATTTATATAATATTTTAGTAAAAAGTTTTATATTATTTCTCTAAATTTTATGCGAAAAGTGCAAACAAAAAAGTACAGAATAAAGTTTATTTATTTTCTTTAACCTATTTTTCAAGCATTGAAAAAGTAGTGAACCCGCGAGATTCCGCTTAGTTATAATTTGGATATTGTTCATAAAAATGTATTCTAAAGATTGGTTAAAAGAAAAGGCACCTATTTTTGCCTATTACTTCATTAACTTATATTGTGTAGTGCTAGTCGTGTTTTTTAGTAAACAAAATGGCGGTGTTTTGTTTTCTTTACAAAATCAGTCAAATTGTAAATAGATATAGTTATTATGTTTCTTGAGAAACTGATTTTTTTAAGTGCAATAAAACTACAATAAAATTAGTAGCACACATGAATGAGATTTTGACAAAGTTAGAGTGTAGGAGGGAGGGGGGGATAAACCCCCTCGGTTACGACGTCTTTTTTACCTCAGCTACGACAAGTTTTGTATAGTTTTACTAAATTTTACAAAATCAGTTTCTCAAAAAACATAATAACTATATCTATATACAATCATATGATTAACAGTATATTTTACCTTTCTCTTATATATCGAATTTATATAAAATAATATATTATCGATTACTTTTTATTTTATTTTTAATTAGTTTAGTAAAGTTATAATGTTTTTATGATTTTTTCAAATATTATATTTTCAATTAATATCTAAGGTTCACAAAAAGATTATTTGCAATTTCCTCGAATTGAAATTTTTGAAATTTTAAAAACCGAGTTATCTTCAGATCTAGATGACCAGCTTGATATTTTGCAATCACAGTTGTGTCTAAGAAGAAAAATTTGTTTCCAATTTTCAACAGATGATAAAAAGAAACTAAAAAATGTATTGACAAAATTAAAAATAAAATGGAAAAGTAGTAACCGAACAAAAAAAAATATTTTTGAAGACACATGACACTTGGTTAAAAGTTAAACTCTGAAACTCATTCGTTTGTGATTGAGTTTATCAACAATATTTCAATAATAAATGATTCAGATGACAGTGGTGATTTATTTTAAAGTCATATAAATGAAAAAATTTTGATAAATGATGCAAATAAAAGTTTTTCTTGTTTTCCTTGAACAAATAAATAAGTAGAATAAATAATGAATTTTTCAATTTATTTTTCTTAACATTGCGGCATAATAATACGGTCATAATACATTATATATCAGTATTATATATAATGTTTATATATGTAATGTAAATAATACATTAGTCTATTGAACTTAAATGTCGAATTAGAACTAATTGGTTAAACACGAAGGCCCAAAGGCATTTCTAATGATTAATGTTTTTAAAACACCGCCATTTTGGATCTGCCATTATTGAATTTTGGTACACTTATGTAAAATTCAAAGTTGGGGATTCAAAAAAATGCTATACAGAAATTTTCCATTAATTATAATCATTTTTTGACTTTTGGCCAGGTTTTTTAAAATTCCGCCCACTGTGCAATGGATAAAGAAGAAAATGTTTGCATGGTTGTTGTTTGTGTATGCTGTAAAAAAGTTTCTTGGAAGAAAAAAAGGTGAAAACTTTGCAGATTTTATTGATAGAATGTTAAAAGCCTTTAGTGATCTTTTATGCAAAATGAAAAACTCTTTTATATGAATAGTCATCTTGACCAGTTTTCTGAAATTCTAGAGATACGAGTGAAAAACAAGGAAAGCGATTCCATCAAGATCATAAGGCAATAGAAGATCATTTCCAAGAACCTTAGAAAAAACATATCATGGCTACTGTTATTAATCATTAATCAAGGTGGTTTAGGAAAAGTATATTAAAAAAAAAGCAGCAAAGAAAAGTTTTTTCCTGAATAAATATTTTTCATTAAACAATATTGTTATATTATTATATTTTATTAAACATTATTCTTTATTAAACAATATATTATAAAACAATTCTGCAATCATATTTAAAATTAAAACTTACATTATTTCTTTATAAATCAACAAAAAGTTCAATGGCATTATTTAAAAAAAAAAAAAAAAAAATATGTTTACTTTTTACATTAAATTACTACAAATAATTTTAAATATTTTTCAATACTCAGGTCTTAATTTAGTTTATCATCATTATCATCATTATCTTTAATCTCCTTATTTAATCTTCTTTAATTCCGTTTAATCTTCTTATTTCCGCGCTTGCAAAACCTAATTTTTCGATAACACATAAAAATTATATATTCAGCGTTTTCTATTTTTATTTAAAATTTTTTAAAAATTTAAATTGTTTAAACTATACCCTGACATTTATAAATGAACTCAAATCTGCTTTAGAGAAATACCTTGAAAATTTAGTCAACTTCCTAAACTTTGAAAAAAAAAAAATTGTTTAATGCAATAGATCAGCAGCTTGCGATAAAGATCTGATGTCAGATTTGAATTTAGAATATCAAGATAAAGTAAGAGTAGGGGTCAACTTTAATGCAG